CCTAATGTACATGGATTCCTTGATCCCCAAACTACCATTATTATGCCTTTCAGAACCCATATCTCCAATAACTAAACTGTTGGGCATATGGATTCAGTGTTGCAATGAACAACCTTGCTCTGACCTTGTTGGTAGTTCTCCGCCTCTAATCTGTGAGCAAGTTGACTTCACTTGGGCACCCTATATTGACTCCAGAGCTCCACACTGACAGAGTGTAATTAAAATTGATGAAACTAGGGACATTCACTCCTTCCAAGTATAATATTTCTCATGCTCATTCATAGTATGAAACGAAAATAAAATCTCCCTCACAGAGAGGTGAGGAGGTATTCCCATGAAAATACTGCCCTATATTTCTTCTCGCGTTTCTAATTAAGTTTGAAAGAGTGATCTAAACTTAGCATACTATTTCCTGACTCCATCCATCTCCATTTTTCCTTTAATTTTATCAGTCATACATGCAGTACTACACAAAGAAAACAATAAAGATTTACAATGGAAAGTAACAATCTTTCATCCATTGTTACTCACTTCTCTGAACATTCTACTTTTCTTTTTATATCTTCTGGTGGTTATCTCCCTAACATGAATTAGTATCTTCACATGGCTGTTTCTTGAGCATCGATTTAACAACACTAATTTTAATTTTGGATAGTTATCTTGGCTCTTCCATTTTTCCTTATAAATCAATTTTGAGGTATAATTTATATGAGAAAATAGAACCATTTTAAGTGTCTAAGAAGTGGAGTATTGACAAATGTTACGCCTTTGTAACACCTATCACTGTCAAGATACAGATCATTTCCATTTTCCAAAGCTCCCACATGCCCTTTTGTAGTCAATCCCACCTGATTAGCTTTCTGTGACTACAAATTAGTTTGCCTGTTACAGAATTTTATATAAATGGAACAATACACTATGCACTCTTACATACCCGGCTTCTTTCACTCACTGTTGTCTGAGATTTGTTCATAAAGTTGAGTTCATCAGTCATTCATCTTTATTATAAGTAGTATGCTATTGTGTGGACATAGTACAATTTGTTTATCCATTCATCTGGTGATGAACATTTGGGTTGTTTTCAAATTTTGGTACAAATCTTTCTGTGTACATATGCTTTCTTTCTCTTGGGTAAATATGCAGGCATGGAGCAGCCAAGTCACAGAGCTGTATATACTTCGCTTACTAAGAAAGTCTCACAGGGTATGGCAGGACACACCTGTAATTCTAGCACTTGGGACACTGAGGCAGGAAAACAGTGAGTTTGAGGCTAGCCTAGGCTACATAGGGGACCTTGGTCTCTCTCTCTCTACACACACACACACACATACACACACAAACACACACAAAGGTCTTTTCCCTCTAGGAATCACTCATGAATAGGGTAGGATGTCTGCCTTTAAGTTCTATTCATGTGACAGAAATTACCGTTATGTTTTAGGGTAAACAGGAGTGCCTGTCTCTGCCCTTTGGCCTAGGGTGAGAGGAGGCTATGAATAATAGAATGGGGAATAGCTTTCTCTGCACTGGAAGCAAATATATCATAGCAGTGAATTTGTCTCCAAGCTTTCCTGTAGTCTCTTTAGATAGCCTCTGGTATTCCTGTGGGAGTAAGATGCCTGCTGCACTAACTTTAGAGAGCCTCTTGACAGCATTATTCAGCAGACAGATAATCAATTAATCACCTCTGGCTCCCTTTCTTGCTCTTCATATTATCTTCTGACCGAGTCTGGGGCCTCTGTGGTTCCTTTTTCCTCTGGCCACGCTCCCCTGCAGTGAGAGCTGCCACTTCCTCCCTTTGATTATCTACTTTTTAGGAATTTAGTGAGCTCACATTTGATGATGGTCTTCTCTCACTCATTTCACTTTGTTATCTTGTTTATTTTATTGGGGATTTGATAGAGAAGAAGAACAATAATCTATGGTCTGTACTCCTCATCCAGAAATGGGTGGATCTAATTCAGCACAGCAGTCGAGGCTAGTACCAGATTCTACCCGTGAGACCTCTCCAGCCCAGCTCATTAATGACCGCTGTTGCTTGATGCAATACACATCTTTGTGTCTTTACTTAACCTCTTTGTAACATGATACTGAGAGACTTCCCTTCTTCCTGAAACACTTTTTTTTTTTTAAACACTTCTGATTTTTACAACACTACTTTTTCCTGGTTACCTCCTGCTACCTGACTACTTCTCTCAGTCTCACTTTCATACTTCTCTGCCCTTTGTCTTCTCTCATTTTACATGGTCTCCTTAGGTCTTTTGACCCAGTGTGCTCTTCTAAACTCCACACTGTTGTGCTTAGACATCTTCTCCTCTAAGAAGTGTTCCCTTACCCTCTAAGGTTAAAGTAGGTGCCCTAAGTGCCCTGAAGCACCTGACAGCCCACTCTGGAATATCTCCCACTACACCACATTCCCCGTTCAGGATGTCTCCTCCTCCAGCTGTAGGCTCCCCAAGAGCCCACGACTGTGTGTTTTCATCCCCAGTAGCTCAATAAATATTCACTTGATTGAAATGAAATCATGGATATGAAAAGGTAGTTTTCATATTATACATGTTATTCCTGGTCATAACAATAAAAATTTGTACTATGAAAGAAAAAAATGACAGGTAAAGATAAATTAATCAGAGAAAAACCTAAAATCTTTAATTAGTATAATGATGGACATTTTAATGTAAAAATTCTATCCTCTTCACTTCTTGACAATTCTTTTTTTTTTTTGTAAATTCATGTTTACTTTTTATTTTTATTTAAAAAATTTTTTTATTGTTCATATGTGCATACAACTTTAGAGCCAAATCAATTTAGATTTCTCCCATGTTCATAACAGCTTATTCACAATAATCAAAACCTCAACCTAAAATCATATGTTCTCCCTCATATGCAGACATTAGATCAAGGGCAAACACAATAAGGGGATTGGACTTTGAGCACATGATAAAAGTGAGAGCACACAAGGGAGGTGTGAGAATAGGTAAGACACCTAAAAAATTAGCTAGCATTTGTTGCCCTCAACGCAGAGAAACTAAAGCAGATACCTTAAAAGCAACTGAGGCCAATAGGATAAGGGGACCAGGAACTAGAGAAAAGGTTAGATCAAAAAGAATTAACCTAGAAGGTAACACACATGCACAGGAAATAAATGTGAGTCAACTCCCTGTATAGCTATCCTTACCTCAACCAGCAAAAACCCTTGTTCCCTCCTATTATTGCTTATACTCTCTCAACAAAATTAGAGATAAGGGCAAAATAGTTTCTGCAGGGTATCAAGGGGGTAAGGGGGAGAGGGAGGGGGTGGAGTGGGTGGTATGGGAGGGGGTGGGGGCGGGGGGAGAAATGACCCAAGCATTGTATGCACATATGAATAATAAAACAATAAAAATTAAAAAAAATAATTAAAACCTCAAATGTCCACTGACAGAAGAATAGATAAACAAAATGTGGTACATACAATGGAATATTATTCAGCCTTCAAAAGGAAGGAAATTCTCACTTATGCTGTAACATGGATAAACCCTGAGGACATGACATTAAGTGAAATAATCCAGTCACTTATAAACTTGTGATTCCACTTGGAGAGGTACTTAGAGCAGTTAAATTTATAGAAAGAGAAAGAAAGATGGTGGTTTCCAAGGAACTATGAAAAGGGAGAATGGGGAGTTACTACCTAGAGGGTTCAAAGTCTCAGTTTTGCAAGATGGAAAGAATTCTGGTGATGGATGGTGGTAATAGCTAAAAAATCGTTATACTGATAAATATATTATGTATATTTTACTACAATTAAAAAGTAAAATAAAAAGTTTCACACAAAAATGCCAAATTTTATCTGAATATTTTTCAAACAAATAAAATTCTGTCTTATGCCTAAAATGAAAATAATTGAATCAAATTATAGAGAGAGTAAGGAGAGGAATATCAAATACAGAAGATGCCATAAACACTTAAAAACAGAAGTACAGAATAACAACAGTAGACATTTATTAAAGCTTATTAGATGAATATACTATGTTAAATGCTTTAGTTGGGTTATCCAATTCAAAACGACTACATGAAAAAAGTGGGCATCTAAATACTAAGTCACTTACCCATGGTCTCACAGCTAAAAATTGTCAAGACCAGAAACTCTGGTCTAAGCCTATCCTCCGGCCTCCTATCTGCCTAGACACTGTGAGGAGAGGGCTGGTGAGAAGGAGGTATCAAAATGTTCCCTTAGTTTCATATTTCTACATGCCAAGTACATGCGGCATATAAGAGATTCCAGATCTGAGGGGATCCACAGTGTATCAGGAGAGGCATATATGCATAAACATATACATATACACACATATGTGTGTGTGTGAATGTATATATAAATAAGACAGTGCAAGCTATGAGTTGCCTAAGAGGAATGTCTCATGTAAACTTACACAATTCCTAGCAACACAAAGTGTGAAAAATTTTGACTAAATGATAATAAACAATCTATAAAAAACATCCCACCTCAGAATGCATTTGGGGAAAAAATAAAGAAGAATCAACTTTGCTTTCTTTTTCTCAAAGAGAAAAAAATTCAACAGATATGGTAACTGACATTTCAATCACGACAAAGAAGAAACAGACTTTTTGTCCAGATTACACTTGAAATAACAATTTTGTAGGCATCCCATGTTAAAATGTTGCCATAGAGAGACTGTGAGATTAAGACAATGCACAAGGACATTGGAGAGATTTACTCTGAAACTCCAGTTTCAAGTAGCTTCTCTTATCCCTTCCTGTTGCTGGTTAATAATCTCCAGACTAAACATCCATCATCCTCCCACAGCATCCTGAGAAAACACTAGATAATGTGTTAATGTCAAGAATTAAAGAGATGAGTTTCACCTTCAGAGGCTTAAAATAATTGCTACTTGTGAGGCTTACCTCAAAATCATTATTAATACCTTCTGTACTAAAATACCAAGTTTTACTTTTCTTTTTCACTGCACTATTAAGAACTTTTACATGAATATTTACTATACCTTGTTCCAATATCAAGCCAGCTGCCATAATCCTTGACCAAGAAGAAAAAATGCTGTAAAACATAATAAAATATGACCCCATTAAAAAAGGTTATTTAGATTCAATCTAAAAGGTTTTTTCTGTTTTTGTTTTTTAAAGATTGTATGTTTCACATTTCTGACCCTTTGGAGCCACCATCCGCCTAGAATCAACAAGAATATGCTCTTTACTGGAACTTTTGCCTCAACTAAAATGAACGACAGTCTAAACACCAGAAATAGAATAACCATTCAGTCAAATGAACTCAAGAGTAATATTTGTGAAAAACTAGAAATAATGAAGAACCAGCCAACTTTAACAAAAGACATTAAATAATACCAAAAGATATAAGCAAAGCCATATCATCCATTCACAACAAATATTTACTAATACTGCCTACTATATACTAATAATCACTGTATTAGGTCATGGAGATAAACCCTTGATTATGAGGCACTAAATGACTCAGTTAAATTACCAGGTGTGCGAGTACACATGTGTGTTTCTGTGTGCATCTCTATGTGTGTGTCTGTTTGTTAGAGAGAGAGAGAGAGAGAGAGAGAGAGAGAGAGAGAGAGAGTGAGAGATGTAATTATTGGTAAATATAGGCAATTATGGATGCACAGAAAGGGAAAATCTAAGTGAAAGGTAGGATATACAGCTAAAAAAGGAGGATGGGAGACAGATGCACAAGTTTGTTTCAGGCAGAGGGAACAGACTACACAGACACCAACAGTCCAGATACAGTTTGGTAGGTTAAAAGTGAGGCTAATTGTAGAAAAAAGAATGTGGGAGAGATGAAAGATGATACAGTCAAGTAAGCAGAAGCTAGATCACAAATGGCTTGCAAGTTAAATTAAGCAATCTGATTTTTCATTTGAAATTAATCAGGGAATTTTAATTCTCTTCTATTAACATGTCTTGCCTATTTGTCACTTTGTGAGCAAAACTGAATGTTGATTTTATTCTAACATTATGTGTGGTCAATTTCAGAAATACATTGAATAATTAGCTCAATATAATGAAAAAATGTTCTTATCTAAATCAAGTAACTATCAATTTTATTTGGGAAGTACATGTTGCAAGCTTTCTTGTGCTTTGTTCTCCTGACCTAACTGGTGGTGACTGGAGATGCAGAAAGGACAAAGGATAGAAGACAAAGCTGGGGCCGAGTGTGCTGGGCACTCAGATGGAGACACACAACAGCTTCATTACTTCTTTTCTCTATTATTCTTTTCTTTTACTTCTCTTTTCTCTAGTCTTTAAAACCTTACTTCTAAAGTCTTTCTTCTTTTCTATCCTTTAAAATCTTCTTAGACTTGCACTGTCCCATGTTTTCTTTAATCTCTCTTAAAGTCTTGGCCCTCAGATTTGTATTGTCCCATGTTCTTTTTAGCTTTTTTTAGCATAGCTTTTCTAAAGCTTATGAATAAAGTCCTCAGTGCAGAAAACTGCTCTGGTGGAGACACACAACAGCCAGCAGCAGCAGCAGAGTCATTCTCACAAGCAGCCTGCCAATCAATCAACAATCCTCCATCAAAACCTTTGTGTCTTCCTTCAGTGAGTCTTTTAAATACAGTGGTAAACAAGGAGGTGGAGCAACAGTTCTCAGGGAGGGGAATGACATTGTAACAAGAGAAACCTGCTCTCTACTTCTCTGAACATAAACAACTTAGGAAAAGCAGCTGTGCTGCATTTTGCCTCTTGCTCTCTTCTGCAGCTGGGGCCACGCCAAACTCAGCCTGTAGATCATTGAGCACAACTATGCTTATGTCAAATTCTCATAGGGTTCTCATAATCCACTCCCCACAGTTACCTAATCAGCGTCTCTAATCACTTCTAGCATAAGATGTTACTTTGTAAAGCCTTAATCTTACCTAAAAAGAGCTGTGTCTGTTGTCTTTAGCCATTGGGAGGTGATTTCTAGGCTCCTGAAATGTCATGCCTGGAAGAAGCATTTTGTCCGGGCATTGATTACCATGCAGACTAACAATGTAATTTATGTTGGGGGCTTTGGCCACATGCTATCAGTTCTACCCCTAAAAAGACTGGAGATAAAAATCAGCCCATGTGGGCACTGTGTGAGTAAACCCCAATAAAAAGTTTGGACACCAGAGCTAAGGTAAGCCTGGATGGCAATACTCCACGAGTATTACCATAGCTCACTCATGAGAGAGCACTGCTATTCTACACCACAGGGAGAAAACAACAGAAGCTCTACGTCTGGTGCACCCCTGTACCCCGCTCTATGCATCTCTTCCCTTGGCTGATTTTAATCTGTATCATGTGTCATAAACCAGAACTGGGAGTATAACAGCATTCAGCAAATTCTGTAAATCCTTATAATGAATTATGGAAACTGAGGGTGGTGTGGGGAACTCCCTGATGATGTGAAATAGATTTCCTCTTTCTGTTAATAAGGTATACACAAGAGGCCTACTCACATGCTTCTCACTCAGAATTCATTTATTATAGCTATCATCTATAACATTTTCTTAATTAGAAAGCTGTATTTCCTTCTTCCTTCCTTCCCGTTCTCTCTCTCTCTTTTTTTAATCTGAGAGAAGAGCTAAAAATCAACACTTGAAGTAGCAGAGTGATACATCATGCAAATCTAAAGGTACTTCTCTAAATTTCTTATGGAAGGTTCATTGCAGACACAAAGCAACATGGAAGACACATGATTCACAGATTTGAATTAATCAAGTAATGAGACTTCTGACATCTTAAGAAGAGTCCTCTATCTGCATAAGACATATAAAAAGAAAGTAATTTATCTGTGTAATTTATACCAGCACTTAAAACTCAATATCTAGAGATTTCATGCACAGAAATGTATTCACATTTCTCCTGATTAAATTAACTCAGCACTTAGTTTCTCAATCTTTCTTAAACTGAATAAACAATAATGCCTTACCAAAGCCATAATGTCCGATATGACGAGAACAATAAGAAAAAGGCTGAAAAACAAGAAAAATATATATAACAGGCATATCTTTCAGGTACATTAAAATCCAAATGACAAATTATTGATGTTTAGAACTTAATTTTAAGTCATGCAAAATAAAAATAATGCTATCACAGCCTTTTAACTTTACCTTTGTTCAATACACAAACTTTACCTTTGTTCAACACGTATTTTAAGGAATGAGTCAGAAGTACAGTTAGAATCAACTCACCAGTTTGTTAAACTCATCCTTGGCATTTTGGATCTAATACACATGTTGTTAGTATAAACTACACTCCCATTTTAACCCCTAGCCTTTTAAGAGCTGTAAGGAAATGTTTAGCAAAATAAGCAATGAGACTGAAAATGTGGTCAGGAAGGAAAGATAAGTGATCTTTAACAAGTAGATATGGCAGTGAAGGATGGACGGACTTTGGCTTGTGTGACGAATTAGATAAAGGAACAGGCTGAGAAGTTACTTCTCAATAAGAACAAAGGAAATTGCTAGGATCAACATGTGACATATTAAATCTGAAAAGTCCATGTAATATCCAGGGTGAAATGTCAATATCTTGCAAGGGTTTAAAGGTCAAAAGAGGAAGCTTTTATAAAGCTTTGGATTGGCAACCTTTGCCTCAGTTCTCTGCTGTGTTTAGTTTTTCACTACATAAATCTCAAGATAGAATTACTCTACACACGTGTACACACACAAATACACATACATGTACACGTAAACACATTGACAAGCCTTCTACTTTTCACTCCACATGTCCTAGTTCTTATTCAAGCCTTAATTAAAATCCCTTCTAAAAACTTATCCACTAACAGAGACGTAGTTAAGTACATATCATTTATTATTTTTCTTTATTGCATCTAAGTAACTATCTTCTATGTGATACTGATAAGTTGTGAATGCTCTCAATATTAAATTCATGTTAGTGTACTAACATTATTTCAACCTAAAAACAAGATTTTTACTATTCGTAAACAGTGGAAAGAAAACCTTTAAAAAAATTATGGTGTATGCATAATAATATGCTAAACCCAGTTCTAGCTTAAACTCATCAAAAAACATGCAAATTTATGTTAATATTAGTTTTCTTTTAGCATTGAATATGTTGGCTTGATTCAAGAATAACAAAACTGTTAAGAAGCTTCAAGTGTCTTTCAGAGAATCCGATGCTAATGAGATAATTTTAATGGTTAAAAAAAGCAAATAGATGAGTTGACAGCTTCTCTTCCAGATTCCTGATTGCTTAAGACTGACTGCTCCAGAAATTCCTCAAAACCCAGAAAAACTTTTGCTCCATTTGTCAAATATGCAGAAATCAAGACTGAGAAACTATACAAATTATTGACATATAGAAAACCTAATTTCTAGTCATGTAAAATAAAATACTGTTAACAAATTTGTTTAACACATGTTTAAGAAGTAAGCCAAAATACCTTAAAACAATATCCCTTGTTTTTGTAGGAAGTTAACTATAATATTTAATATTTGTGTTTTACTATTTGCTTAGGGAGGTTCTTCACTGACTTAAAAAATATTTTAATATAATTTTATTGCTAAGAAAGCATATTTGTCTGTTAAAGGCCCTAGTTAACTCATTTCCTCTAATGACAACTTTTAACTAAAAGCCCACTTTTATAATAAGCAATCTATGTTACAGGGCCTTAATAGCAATCCCATGAATATCTTCAAATGTTCATTCTCTTTTACTAAATGGGCAAAGCTAGGTCGGTTTTTGCCCACTTGGACAGATTGAGGCAGGAGGTCAGTTTGAGGCCAGGTTAAGCTACATAGTGAGTTCAAGGCCAGTCTGAGCAACATAGTAGGTCAGGGCGTCAAACAACCATCAAAAAACAGCAATCCAATGCTTCTTAAACATTATTCTTACCTTTTTGATGATAACTGTGTAGTTAATTGAACTGCTTCAAAAGCACACATCACAAGAACAAAAGGAATTAAAATCTGTTTAAAAGAACAACAAATGATGTCATTGGTAATGAAAGCATTTAAAACAAATGTTATTTCTGCTTATAGAAAAGTTTCAATTTCTCAGGTAACATCTCTATGTAGTAGTGAAGAGTAAACACTGAAATAAAAACAGGATACCATGACATAGCACAGTAGTGAAACTGATTTAAAATCACATTAACATATGAAGCATTAAAGATAGCAAACATTAACAATACTCCAAATAAAAATCTATTATAAACTTTGTTCTGTTTGACTCATACTAATTCATGACAGTGCTCAAATGATTCCAAGAGGATGTGAAAGGCACAGAAAGCAGAAATCAAATAAGTGGCCTCACAACTGATGCATAGATCTCTGACTGATTATTTGGAAGTGTAATACTAGAAACATGATTCAGCTATTTTATCATTGCTTTTTGTTTTTTAAGAAATACTGATCTACTGCTGACTATAAAATTCATTCTCAATGAAAGTAGAAGAAACATAGAAAAAAAATGTTTGATACTTTATAAGAAGCTGCATGTGTGGCACATGCCTGGAATCCCAGTACTTGCAAGGCTTAGGCAGAAGGATCAAGAGCATGAGGACAACCTAGGGCATATAATGAGACCCTGTTTAAAATAAAGAAAACAAGACTGCATATGATTCTTTTCTAAAGTGAAGGCCATATGAATGAAATCGAGTTCAGGAGGGCACTCACTGATGGACACATAGTCAACAAAAGCTGTGAGTGTATCACGCTGTTAAAGCTTACTGAATTATGCCAAGTTCACAATCTAGTTCTCTAATTTGAGATTTTTTTCTTTAGTTCAAATTAGAGTTAATAGTCTTTAATAGGCTGAGCAAAGTATAGCCACCACTTAAATTATGAATAAAAATTAAGGAAACAGTAACATGCTAAAATAATTCAAGAGAGACTGGGCTGTGCGAAAATGACGAACATCTTTCTGATTCTTTCTAAATTTATATTTATTAGTGTAGTAATAAAAAACAGAAGTACTAGTGCAGAAAGAAAACAACAACAGAGAATATATACCTTTAATAATGATTACTTCTGTGATCTGAACAGAAGGTAATCAGATTTTAGGCAGGTATTAGTTTATTTAAATGAGTATACACTAAGTGCATGAAATATACCAGGCACTGTGGGAATTTGGTAAAGGGAACAAGATAAGTATAAGGACCCTACAGAAAAAGGGGAGAACATGGCTTGCATTCTACTGGAGAGTCTATATTCCTACAAAGCTGAGAATGTGTCATTGTTTTTGTACTGTCAGCACTCAACTAGAGCCTGGCATATTAATGAAACAAGTACTCGCTGACATATTTATTGAAGGAATGGGTCAATTCTACGCACATGGATTATGAGAAAAGATTATAACATGTTTGTAGCTTCATGGTTGGGGACCATGGGTTCAGGGAGTGTTAGAATCTTTAGCACACTGAAGTTTTAATCACAGCTTCCCTGCAGATATTAATTACCTGATAGACTTTTCTGGGACTAACATGTACTCCTTATTCCTTTGGAGTCAAAGAGTCATTAAGAGTAAACAAAAAGGAAGTAAGGGCCAGAGGGTCTACCTCTCGTCAGCAGTGGTATCAGTGCCACCCCTGACACTGTATTTTCTTTCCATGGCTATTTAACTCTGTCATAATGGCTTTACAATCTAAATGTCACATGTTAGATAATCTTAAAGTACAATGAATTCATGATGTTACTTAATCAACAGTTTAATACAAATAACAAAATTAGAAAACTAACCTTCCACATCATCAGGGCTCCCATCATAAAAGGACTAAACACTGTCAGAAAGCAATACACAGAGGCAAGATCAAAGCTAGGGAATCATAACACAAAAAAAAGATTTTAGAATTCATACTGTAACTTAAAAGGATGTTTAAACAAAATCTCTGAAATCTACTCTTTCTAAAACATAAACATACATACAAGGAATATTATGAAGCCAAGAAAATGAACAAAGGAGATCTAAATGTGCCAATACATTCCAATCTCCAAAATATACTGAGGATAAAAAATAAGGTATAGAGGAAAAGATTAGAGAGGTCCGAATTTGCATTTTCTTTCTGAGACAGGTCTCGCTTTGTAACCCAGGATGGCTTTAAACTTGCAGTCCTTCTGCCTCAGTCTCCTGAGTGCTATGTTTACAGGTGTGTGCCATCATGTCCAAACTTGCATCATTTTTTGTTATATAAATATACACACTAAAAACATATATAAATGCAGCTTTCAATTAAAATTACCTGTTAATAGAAGCTATATTTCCAGTTCCAAAAAATGCTGTCAATAAGAAGAAAACCTAAATAGAGTTAAGGAAATGCCAAACACAAGTCAAAATTCATAACAACTTTTTTATTTATAAAAGACATGCCAATTCTACCATGAGGCCAATTATTGATCATGAATTGTTTGAAATGGATGGTCAATTATATTCTTAGTGATTGCATTTTGAAAGAACAAGATGGAAGAAGCAATGTACTGAAAATTGAGCCTGAGAAATTATCTTCACTTGGTCACTAGTAATTTGGGGAAGGTTAGTTTCTTCTTTCCAGATATGAATGAGTTGGAATGAATCTGAAGTTGGCTGCTAAAGACTTTTTCTAAAGAAGAATTCAGTCCCAGTCAGCTACAAGACAGTTTTACTTCACATATGCTTGCTATGTGCCTACTACATGTAAAACACATGCTTGGATTTTCAAAAGGCTCAGAAAGAAACAAGATAACATATATTAGAATAATTCAGTATATGTATATATATATATATATATGAGATGAGAAAATGCTGAACATTTTTTGGTATTTCATAAACTTAGATTTGTATTAGTAATAAAAAATAGTTATTAATCCTGTTGGTATCTAGTACTTACTGCTAGTAGTACTCAAAATAGTACCTGACCTATTAAAAGTGCTCAGTAAATGTTAGCTATTTTATTATTACTTACACAAACACACACACACAAATGGCATATAAACTCTGAAAAGGAAATATGAATCATAACAACTTTCAATGAAAAAGTGAGTTGAGCCTTAAAGGTATTAACATGTCTATTCATTGAACCAACCATCTAACCAATCAACATTTATTATCTATTATATGTCAGAGATAGAGCTAGAGGCAAGGAATGTAAATATAAATAAAACAGTCTTGAAGTATAGAGATGGTGAATAAAATAAGAGACAGTGGGGAAATAAACAACAATCATGAAAGAATAAAGGATACAGTGAAAGATGAAAAAGGAAATATAGATTAGTGGCATATTAATAAAAAGCTTTTCCTCAGTTGTAAGAACAATGAAGAGAACCTATTACTTTAGATGAATTGCATTATTAAGAAAGATCAGTAATTGTAGGATAGTAAGATAAGGAAGACAAAAAACTGAAGGCAGGGAATCTACCTAGGGAGCTATTTCAGTATTCCATGTCAGAGAAGTCTGAATTGTGCAGGGATAGTGAAAATGAGGAAAGGGGGTTGGGATTTAGATAGGGAGCAGTTAAATACGACAAGTTTGGGTGGCTGGGAACATCGCAATGCTATTAAATGAGATAAGGCCTGTCAGAGAGAGTGGCAGTTTTTAGTCAGATTGGGACATGTATTTGGTGATGCCCAGAAGAATGTTGAACATATGACTTCTGAGGTCAAGGGTGAGGTCAAAGCTGGAGAATACATCTAAGAGTTGTTTGCACTGAATATCTGTCAATGTTAGAGGAAAGGATGACATTTACCAGGTATGGCAAGAGAAACGGAGGCTGGAGAAAAACATCATGGCTCAAGATCAGGCAAAGGAAGAGGTCTCAGAGGAGAACAGAATAATATAAAAAACTAAGAATAGACCTTGGGTTGCATCCTAGAAGACAAGAGAAAAGAGAAAAATCAATAGAGTTAAATGTTACAGTGTGGTCAAGAAAACTAAGCAGATTAAACTATGCGATCAGGAAGCCCATGCAGACCATTCAGAGTACAGCTCAGCAGAAATATTCAACAGTCATTGGTAAACCAATTCTATACACCAGGCACTGTTCTAGACTTATGGATATAGGACATAAACAAGAATAAAATAATGGCAACAGCTATAGATATTTTTTTTTCTGTCAAGGATGTTGCTAGCACACAGAAAAGACAAAACAGAGTTATAACTTAGGGGAATACAGGTTCAAGTGGGCAAAGTGTTTTGCTGGAATTGGCTGAGTGGAAGGAACCTACAGAGGGAGACAAAGTAAAATTGAGAGTGAAAGTACAAGTAGAGAGGAGAGATTGAGAATATTTATTTTCTGGACCTGACCACGCACCAAGTTAAAAGGAAATATCTCCAGAATTTACAAATCATATATCTGATAAGAGGTCAATATCCAATATCTAAAAAATATAAAGAAGACATACAAATGGCCAATAGGTATATGAAAAAATGTTCAACATGAATAAACATTAGAAAGTGAAAATCAAAACTATCATGAGATGCTACCTCACACCTCTTAGAATGGCTATACTAAAAAAGATCAAAGATAACAGGTGTTGGTAACAATGTGGAGAAAAGAGAACCCTTGTACATGAATGGTGACAAATATAAAATGCTACAGCCATTATGGAAAACATTATGATGATTCCTTTAAAATTACAAAATAGAACTATCATATGATCCATCAATCCCACTTCTAGATATATATTCAAAAGGAATGAAATCAGTATCTTGAAGAGATATCTGAGCACCCATGTCTATTATAGCATTAATCACAACAGCCAAAACATGTAAAGAACCTAAATGTCCATTGATGAAAACATGGATAAAGAAAATAGGCAATGGAATCCTATTTAGCTATAAAGAAGGAAATCCTGATATTTGTCCAATGTGCATGACCCTGGAGGACAGGATGCTAAGTGAAACAATATCATTCTTTATACTCTTCTATAGTTAAAACTTTAATGTGAATTATATAATGAGAAAACTACAGTTGAGAGAAGAATTAAGTGGCCTCTAACATAACATTACTACTAAGTGACAGGCAAAAACACCTTCCACATCTTCTTATTCCATTAAATGGTGAGCAGCAGATCTTAAAACAAAAGTCCCAACAAAGGATACAAGGAAAAAGGCTCTACGGATGTCATCCAGACACAGCTGTCGAAACTGAGCTATATCAGTATTATAGGAGAACTGGGTACTGGTGAGCTGTGAGGCAAAAGAAACATATTCATGCACAATGACAGTTGGCTTACTTCTACACTCAAAAGCAAACTAACAATGGCTAGGCTACCATGGCTAGAAACTTACCCTGTGCCAACCAAAAACAAACAAAAAAAGTAATAAGTCTTTTATAGCTTGCACCTTAACATAATCTGCTAAAAGATTAAATATGTTGCTACCATATGTTGTTTCTATAAAAGCAAAATACTCCTGTCTTTGATAAAATGGAAAGTCACTTAATTACAAGATAGGTGAACTCTTGCTTACTCTCTCTGCCCAAAGAAAGAAACTAATGGGTATGTTTAAAGAAAGACTTTTCCTACCACCATGCCACGTGTGATTTTCCATTAAGTTCCTGGGGTGGTTTGATACCTTTTTTACATAAAGATAGACTGGCCTTCAGTTAAAAGTAGAATTTAAAAAGTGATATTCAAGTAATCACTAAGAAAAGCCCAACCTATATATGGTTTTTTGAACAGTAAAATTGTGCTTTTCTGTGATAAGTGATTATTTTCTTCCAAATTAATTAACTTAATTACCAATGACAAATAAAATTTACTAAAGTTCCTTAAATGCTAAAATTTAAAATAGAATTTTTATCAAATATTGACAACACTGTAACTTCCTTATAATATAGAGGATAAGATATTTTCATATAAATGCAACAGTGATTTTGACAAGCTACCTTCTGTTTACAGGAAACACCAGATTGATGTAGAAGTTCTTGTTCCATGTGTATCCAGGAAAACATCAAACATGACAACACTAATGGAAACAGAGCTTCATACCTAAAGAGGTGGAGAGAGAAAGTGTAGAAATGAAAAGAAGAAAACATTAAACAAAGAAAAATGCAAATTTATACTGAGAGAACCTTCTTAAAATAATTTGGATAGTACTTTTAAGTCTTCACACTACCACAAAATTTAAATTTTCTAAGCTTTCCAGAAGAAAGAAGGAAGGAAGGTAACCTTTAAGTTTCAATTCCAATATTATCTCTTTTGAAATTTCTTAAACCTTGAGATAATTACATATTTAAAATAGTAGAGAAATTTAAAAATCATTTATAAAGTAAATAAGATAGTCCTAAAAGAGAAAGAAAATGTTAACACAAAGGCAAAAGATAATTTCTGATGCAAAATAATTGAACAAGATCAACATTCCAAATTTCCTAAAAATAGTCACAATTATAGGAGCTTAACCTCTTGAAAGAAAACAAAAGGGGTGTTATAGTGCACACCTGTGCTCCCAGTTACTCAGGAGGTGAAGACAGGTGGATTGCAGCATTTGCCAGCCTAGACAAAAGCACAAGATCCTACCCAAGAAATAAACTAAGGCAAGAAAGAGCTGAGGCATGGCTCAAGTGAGGCCCTGAGTATGAACAAGAGTACTGCAAAAAAAGAAAAAACAAACAAACAAGAAAAGAGCCAATAAACATACGAAAATATGTTTGACCTCAACAGTAACTAATATGGAAATTAAAATAATAAGATACTATATTTATTTATCCTGTTTGCCAATATTAAATGAATGAATGAAAAGGAACTCTCATGCTTTTTACAAAGAATATACACTATACACTTAGGAGTGATTAAATAATGTATGGAACATCTTAGGCCAGGGTGTAATGTGGACACAAAAGCAAAGGAGAAATGCTCATGAGATAGCATGGTGACAGAAGCCTTTTCTAAACTGTTTCCACCTTAGTTTGGGATAAGTGTTCTACCTCTGTCATCCCAAAATGCTGTATTTATAGTACTTATCTATCACACTGTTACAATCATATGTTTATTTATATACACCTCTTACTAGTTTATAAATTTTGAAAACAGTGTCTGTCTGGCCAGCATGGCCAGTGTACTTCACAAGTATTTTTGAGTGAGTTACTAACCTAACTAGAAGTTCTAAAACAAAAGAAGACAAAACAAAACCGATTTCCCTTTTAACTTTTTCAACTACTCAACTCTAGACCCTAGGTCACTATTTCCTAAACAGGAGAAAGCAAAAGAAACAAAACACTTTAAATTCTACCACAATCATAAAACTGAAACAGTGGAGACTGGGCAGAAGCATCTGGGTTTGAGAAAGCACAATCACTTGGTATATAAGATTCAGAATTTCAAAGGATATTAACCAATACTGTATATGTAAGAAAATATCGTTAGTAAAACAAGTACAGAAAACTATACAAAGCAGTACCCTCTATGGCCTATCAAAATAGAATTTGATATTCTTACATGAAAATGAAAATACCAAATATTGCTAAGGGTATGATGAACGAGTACCCTGTAGTTCATTGGTAATATTATAAAATGGTATTATTTTTAAGATAAATAAAGGTTTAAAAAAATTTCATACTAAATGGCCCACCTACACTATACTATACTATACTATACTGGAAAGCAAACAAAGGAAATATCTAACCTACATAAAAAGCATATGCATAAAATATAGCTCAATACTATTCATGATAACAACATTGTAAATAGGTAAATAGAGGACTAGTTAAGGAAATCAAGGTACAGTTACATCACAAATATTAAATATCTATTGAAATGGTGGTTATGAAGCCTATGGTTCACATAGAAAATGCATCCAAAATAAGAAAAAGATATAAAATAGTATATGTACTATGATCAATTCTATGTTGAAAAGACAAATACAGACCTAAAACTGGAAGGAAATACACTAGAACAGACAGGATGAATAGAGTTAAAAATTTTCTCCTTAATCTTTACTTTTCAAAATGTGGTGATACTATTTGGACAATGAGTTACAAAACTAAAAAACAAAATTTAGAATGCCTGCACTTTGGCCATTTTTTAAGGTTCAGTTCAGTTTCCACAAAAGAGCTTAATGACACCAATTCAGTTCCCCAACTCAAACTCACTAGTCATTTTTCATATCAGACAATTCATAACTTAACTCATAAAACTTACTTGTCCCCTCTAACACTGTAAAATACAGTCTTTGTTTTATAGCAGTTTGTAATTTGTATGCCTGCATTACAGGAATAGTTTCCTATGTATGCCTATCTAGTGCTCAGGACTTTGGAAATGTAAAGAAAAAATAATTGTTGATTAATAGAAAATCAAGAAGGTGCATACTCTTGGCAAAAGGGGATTTAAAAAAATATGTGTAGATATACATGAAGTTATTCTTTCTTAACATATAAAACCATAAATCTCAGAGTTCTACAAATAGTGTTACAAATTTATCTCCTTTCAAAAAACCACTTTCTTTTATAAAATGTAGATAAATAAATCAGATAAAGACAATCTTCTGATGAGACTTTATCTTTTAAGACAATCCACATTTTAATAAAGCTTGCAAATCTGAATTAATAAACTGAAATATCAATAAAATGTCATTGTGGGCTTGAAGAGTACCCAGTCAAACCCTACTAAATTAGGATCTGCTAGTTCCAATCAAACTCTACTAAGTTAGGATCTGCTAGTTAGGTCTCTGTGCAAACTAGATAGGGTGAAAAGGTATTTAGGTTTACCTTAGTTTGCTAAGAAAAGGGATAATGTAAACAAAATTTCAGAGGAAAATGTTTAACAGCATATGAGTACAAACTATTTTCAAGTATTACAATAGCTTTCATTTGCATAAAATAATTCAGGGCTGATTAAAAATGAGTCTTCTTTATTCATTAAATCAAGGATAGATTGTTAGAATTTAGGACTACTATTACTGTATTTCTGTAATATAATAAGCTCCATTTGTTTTAAGTATCCCATATATCTGAATATTCACTAATTTACATACAGAACCTCTAGTTTATTCAGAATAGTGATACTAAACATAACAAGTGAACAGTGATTTACAAAAGTATTTTGACACCAAAAAAATGATTAGGCTGTGCTGTTTCAAGATACCCTTTTGATTTTTTTGCGAAGCTAAATATAGGCTCCGATGTTGAATAAAATATCTCTTCATGTATACATTAATAAGGTCACACTCAGCATTAATATTCCTATTTTAGGCATGCATTTTCACTTTTTAGATTTTCTTAAAGTATGCTTATGATATCTGTTTTGGTATCTCATGACCGTTAAATTGATCACTTAAAACACTATAATACTTATCCCTAAGATAAGTTACATGATTAACTGCGTCTTCATTATGAAAGCCTTTTTCACTCAAAATTTAATTATCCTTCCTTTTTCCCCTATCATACTCCACTTCTAACCCAGCAGATCAGATGTATTTCTTTCTCTTTTTCTTTCTTTGGCAGTGCTGGGGATGAATCCCATGGTCTTGTGCAAACTAGGCAAGTTCTCTACCACTGAACTACTTCCCCTGCCTATGGTTTTTGAGAACAGGATCTCACTATGGAGCCAGGCTAGGCTTGAACTTGTTATGTAGCCCAGGCTGGCCTCAACTTCTCAATCCTCCTGTCTCAGTCTCCTGAGAATGGGGATTACAGGTGTGCTACCACGTAATATTATTTATATTTTTTTAATCTACTACAAATTCATTTGAATCTGTTTATTTAAAAGTCCAAAAAAAGGCTATTCATTATTAAGTAACTATGAAGAAGTTAGCATATATTTCTTGAACTTCTCAATTTTTTAATTCCTTAAACCAACCTATGAGTGTGATCTCTTAATAAAACTCATGTCACCCTAAAATGGTGGGATAGAAGTGATCTTATCTTCTGCTTTGTTATGTAGACTAAAAACCTGTATATATTTTAATTCATTCTTACTTTGATGGGTGCTAATATAACAAATGATAAATTTTACTAACAAAGGGAAAAGTGTGAAGGGTTTTAAGGCCTCATGATGTTTACTACTCTTGCATAAGAACTGGACACTCACAGACTTCAAGTTTTATTTGAAAGTTCAAAGTTCTAAATCTTCAAAGCAAGCCATCTTAGATCTTTTATTAGGTAACTGGTGATAATTTTCATAATGCTCACATTACATAATCAGAGCTGTGGCCCACATCTGGTTAGGCAGGGAGAAGGGAAAAGACACCAAGTGCGGGAACTTTGGTGAGAGAGATTTAGTGCCCCAATGGATCATTTCCTATTTGGGGTCTTCAAAACTCCTTGGGTTCATGTCACTTAGAACTAAATTTTCCTAAGATGAATCCAAGCCTTGGATCCCAGGTGGCTTTATAAGGTCATCTAAACTGTAAATAATCTGTTGATGGTGCAATGATGAATCCCTACATTTAGTGTACTTGAAACAGGGAGAGTATAACTGTCTTCACTGAGTTCTAAAGAATGCTTCAGGATGCATGCAAATCAAGATGCTGGATTTTTTGTTTTATTTTATTTGGTAAGGAAATTTCAATAAAAATTAATTATTTAACTCTGAGAAAATACTCTTAAAGTTTCTTGAATCAAAGGAGTATTTGAACTATAACACATGTAAGAATAGGAATAAAAACAAAATACTACATTCAAATTAGAATGAACAAATTAAAGCATTTTCTTTTCTTTTTTTTTTTGTCTGTGGTACTGGGGTACTGGGGTTCTAGCTCAGGGCCTACACCTTGAGCCACTCCTCTAGCCGTTTGTTTTGATGGGTTTTTCGAGATAGGGTCTCCTGAACTATTTACCTGGGCTGGTTTGAAACCACGGTCCTCCTAATCTCTGCCTCTTGAGTATGAGCCACTGGAACCCGGCCAGGCATTTACTTTTTCTTTGCAGTGCTGGGGACTGAACCCAGAGCCTCATTCACATTAGGCATGTGCTCTACCACTAAGCTATACTCCAAATCCTAAAGCATAATTTAAAATGCATGAATAGAAAGCAAAAATAGAAAATCCTTCTAAGTCTTTGTTTGAAACTTAAAATTCCCCCATAATCTATCAAAATTTTCTAATACTATAGTTAAATAAAACTTGTAGCAACTTCAGTAAATAAACAAAAAGACAAAACATAATAGTATGAAAATGATAGGAGAAAAATCCCAGATTATGCACTAAGTCATGTATAGTTTATACAGAGTGTAGAAAATATTTATCTTTCAAGATATATAAAACATTTTTCACTTTGAGAGCTTAAATATTAATACAGAAAACATCAATGTGGTATTTAAAATTTGCTACTATGAAATGAAAAATCTTAAAAAGTTTATACCCTGTGCTTAGAAGTAAGTAGGTTGACATCAAGGAAAGAAGTATGCTAAACAGTCGCTGGAAAAGAATTGTAGAACTCAGCAGTGGCACAACCAAGGAAGAGGCTGCAACAAAACAAAGCAAGTGTCTGTCAGTTTAAGAAAAACAAAAGATGCTAGTTTAGAAGCCCTAAATAATTTACTGTCATTTCCCGTATTTAGTATTTCTGTGACCTTTAATATAAGCTATATTTGACCTAGTGGTTTCTAGAAGAAAGCAGAAATTTCACATTTTTAATTAAAATTGCACTTTATTTTTTTTATCTGTATTTTGGTTTCAATAACTCAGATTTTCTCAATTTATATTCAAATGATATCACTGTAATAATGTTAGTTCCCAAATGAATAATTTATTATTTTCTCTCTCTCTTTTTTTTTTCTTGTTTTTTGGTGGGATTGGGGGTTGAACCCAGGGCTTTGCATTTGCAAAGCAGGCACTACACCTCCAGTCCATTTTGCTCTATTATTTTGGAGATGGGGGTCTCGTTAACTATTTGCCCAGCCTGGATCTTGAAGGGTGAGCCTCCCAATCTGAGCCTCTTTTGTAGCTATAACTACAGGCATGAGCCACTGGCACCTATTTTCTAATGAAGTAAAGTATAATAAGATTCAGCAATTTGTCTCAATTAGTATTTAAAACTTAGTTCAAAGACAAGTCATCCCCTAGTAACTATTTTTACTGGATAATCCGCCCCCCCCACCCTCCAAAGCTTCCCACTATTAGACATACATGAACAGTTTTAGCTGACACTTAGAAAATCTGAAAGAGAATGACCACATGCATGCATGTTGTAATAAGAGTAGTCCTTAGTAAGTGACGTAATCTTTCCCCGCAGAATAAGCAAAGCAACTACCTCAATGGAGGCAAGGCAGATGAAAGGGCATGGGGACAACAAAACATAACCGTCTTCCATCTCTATTTTTGGAAAGGGAATAACACCCAAGTTCCCAGGGGGATGGAGACTTGGGGTGAAATTCTACTGAATCACTCACTAGCCACTGTAAATGTGGGGTAAGTTTGTTAAGCCATCAAAGTAGAAGTTTACCCATATGTCAAATAGAGATAACATTATAAGGTTTCTGTGACTTTTAAATATAATTTCACCCATAAAATGCTCCCAGAGCACTGTGCCTGACATATAAGTTTAGTAACCATTAGCTGCTATTATTACTACTAATCAACACCTCATAAGTTAAATCTAAAGATAATTTAATTAAGAGTCAATTTCCTACAAGATTTAAGACTATGCAAGTTATCTTTAGTAGCTTCTGACTTTTATCAATGTGAGGTAATTCTAATAATGTCATCATCTGATCCATATTCTAACTGGAAGAAATAACATTCCAATACGTCTTATTTTAAAAGTTCAAATGAGACCTATTCTGTAAAATTGTGAAATTTTGTCTAAACAATAAGGTACTCTAGGGGGATTAAGACACCCTATTCTGAGGGTGAATATATTTTGTATTCATATATGGATGTATTTTGAATTAACATATGAAAATAGAAGAACAAAACCTGCTGAAATTGTTCTAAGGAGGGAGGAAAGAGAACAATGGAAGCAGTAAACCTAAGACATATTATAAGCACATATGTAAATATCACAAATCCCCCTGTACAACTATTATATGCTAATAAATAAAAACAAAGGAGTCTCCATTCTGAGTGATATTATCCACTTGCAGACCATGGAATGTTAGCAAAAACATGCTCATAGTAGATGGACTGTAGCATATCAGAGTTTAGAAGACACACTGTGACTTTGGAGAGCCTGATGACTTATTTATGAGTCAATTATCTTATGTCTCACATCACTTGGTATGTATCCTTTAGTTCCTAACTCTACTAATCCCAAAGAAGAAATTTCCTACTTAAAATATATGCCAGGGGAATGTTTATCTGTTTGAAGAACAACAGTAGATTGATTCTGAATTTCCTCCCTACCTCCCAAAACAGTAATAAAACTCAGAAAGGAATAGATAAAGTTACATAGAATACCCAAAATATGAGAAAAAAGCACAAGAAACATTATATAATATGCATGTGTTCTACTATAAGAATATGACAGAAATAGAGATCATGCTTAACAGGTAAAAATACTTTAAAAACTGTACATAAAGTGGGATTCCAAGATGGCAGCTAGAGGTAGGAAGCAGAAAGCGAGCCTCCTATAGTGAAATCTTGGAGAGATGCTGGAGACACTTTGCAGGCATAATCACTGAGAAGAGGCATAACTTTCACCCCTCCACACCTCCAGCTGGCGCAGAGAATCTCCACTTCACGTTAAACGGAGAAACAAGGAGGGCCCCCAAGCCGCCAGTCGCCCACGCCCAAACGGCTTGGGAAGACGCGGACCAGGTGAGCTTCATGGTACCGCGGTACTCCCACAGACAAGCCTGGGCCAGAGCAGCAGAGGCCCCTGGACAGACTGACCTCCACCCGGGGAAAAAAAGAGAAACTGAGTAATAACCAATAAGAACAAATAAGACACACTGGAAAGAGGGTGGGGCGCCCTGAGAGCTGAAGATTGGGGGAAGGGAACCCTTCCTGGGACTGTAAATAAACAAGCCAGGCAGGCCAGAGAGGCTCTGGCGGGAGTGGGGTCACGCGCCCAGCAACCAGGAGTGGGAAAGCTTGTGAGTGGCAGAGGGAGGAAAACTCCACGGGAGAGAAGGGAAGACCCACTTCCCACATGAACTGTAAACAAACATGGTGGCAAGCAGGAGCAGCAGCACCGCCCAGTAATCAGGAGCAGGAAAGCTTGTGAAAGTGGCAGTGGGAGGAAAACTCCACAGGAGAGGGGGGGAAGACCCACCTCCCACATGAACTGTAAATAAACATGCAGGCCTGAGAATGTGGGCGCAGTGTCACCTTTCCCAGTGCTTGGAAAGGGGAAAGCTTGTAGCAGAGGCTCGGGCACAGTAGAACTCTGAACAAACAAAGCCTGCCGGGCCAGGTGAGTGCTAAGCTCACCCCAGAGATCTGCATAAATAACGCCTCCAGCAAGAGCAGGCTGATAGCAGCGGGCAGGCAAGTTACAGCTGCAGATACCATTCTCAGAACTGCCTCCAGACTCTTTTTTTTTTTTTTCTCCCTACCTTTGATGAGAACAACTGAATTACACCTGCAAGAAAAACTTACTGAAACTGTATTGCATTTGAACTTGGGACACTTGGTGGGGTTGTTGTGTGTGTGTTGTGTGTGTGTGTGTGTTAGTTTTGTTCTACTTTATGCATCCCTTTGATGAGACAACTACAGAACAACATCTGAGGCACCATCTCCAGGATTGGAGACTGAGACGACACCCAAATTATTAAGACTGAAACTTCATTGCATTTGAACTTGGAGTTTTTGGTTTTGTTTTTTTTTTTTTTTTAATTTTCTATTTTCCATTTTATTTTAATTCATTTTTATATATAGAGATTTCTTCATACTTATTTTTTATTTTATTCTTATCTTTATTTTTTTATTTTTGATTTTCAATCCTCTCTGTCTCTCTAATGTCTGTTCAGCTTACTGTCAATTAGTACACTACACTCCCTGTTTATACCTTTGAAAACTTTCTTGTCTGAATACCTTGTTCTGCTTTCTCCTCTTGTCTGTGTATTTGTTTTTCCCCTTTTCTTTAACTTCTTGCTTTCCATCTCAGCTCACCTTTCCATTCTAAATATTACCATTGTTATTATTACAAGCTAGAAAATACTTAATTGCACACAGTACAGGGACAGTAACAACACCAAACAATGATGGAAGACAGAAAAAACAGGGAAACCAGTTTCCCCACAGCAAAAAATTAGTACAGGAACCAGGGGAATGAAGAAAACAGAACTCAGATCCAGACTCCAACAAAATGAAGATAAACTATGCCAAAGGACCCAATGAAGCCCACAAGAATAATTTAAAAGAAGACATACTACAAGTACTCAATGAGAATTTTATAGAGATGATACTGGATAGGGTCAACCAAAATGTACAGGAGACACTCAAGAAATTCCAAGACAACAAAAATAGAGAATTTGAAAAAGCAAAAGAAGAAATAAAGGAAACCATAGAAGCACTGTAAAACACCAAAGTGAAAGAGAGAAACGATGAATAAACGGATAAATGAACTCAGGACAAAAATAGACAACATTAAGAGGAAAACCACCCAGGATATGGAAAACCTCAGAAAAAAGAACGAAACAGAACTGCAAAACAAAACGGAAGGCCAATCCAGCAGAATAGAACAAACAGAAGACAGAATCTCAGAACTTGAAGATGAAATGGTAATTAAAGGAAAAACTGAAGAACTATTAATTAAACAACTCAAGACCTGTGAAAAGAAAATGCAAGAACTCACCGACTCCATCAAAAGACCAAACTTGAGAATCATGGGCATCAAAGAAGGAGAAGAGGTGCAAGAAGGGAATGCGTAATATATTCAACAAAATAATAACAGAAAATTTCCCAAATCTAGAGAAAGATATTCCCATACAGATGCAAGAGGCCTCCAGGACACCAAACAGACCAGATCAAAATAGAACTACCCCACGACATATCATCATTAAAACAACAAGTTCAGAAACTAGGGAAAGAATATTGAAGGCTGTAAGAGAGAAAAAACAAGTAACATACAAAGGTAAACCCATCAAAATCACAGCAGATTTCTCAACAGAAACATGAAAAGCAAGAAGAGCGTGGGTGAGATCTTCCGGGCACTGAATGAAAATAACTTCAACCCCAGGATACTCTACCCAGCAAAACTATCATTCAAAATAGATGGAGCAATAAAAGTCTTCCATGATAAGCAGAAACTAAAACAATATGTGACCACAAAGCCACCACTACAAAAGATTCTGCAAGGGATTCCGCACACAGAAAGTGAAACCCAACTTAACCATGAAAAGACAGGCAGCACCAAACCACAGGAAAAGAAAAAGCAAGACAGTAGAGAGTAACTCAACTTAGGTACACACAATCAAACCTTCAAACAACTAAGACAACTAAATGACAGGAATCACCACATACCTATCAGTACTAACACTTAATGTTAACGGACTTAATTCACCCATCAAAAGGCACCGCTTGATGAAATGGATTAAAAAGGAAGATCCAACAATTTGTTGCTTACAGGAGACCCATCTCACCGACAGAAATAAGCATAGGCTTAGGATGAAAGGCTGGAAGAAGATTTACCAAGCCAATGGCCCCTGAAAACAGGCAGGAGTAGCAATACTTATCTCTGACAAAGTAGACTTCAAACCTACATTGATCAAATGAGATAAAGAAGGACATTCCATACTAATAAAAGGGGAAATAGACCAAAAGGAAATAATAATCATCAATCTGTATGCACCCAATGTCAACACAACCAATTTCATCAAACATACCCTGAAAGACCTAAAAGCATATATAAACGCCAACACAGTGGTTGTGGGAGACTTTAACACTCCATTATCATCAATAGATAGGTCATCCAAACAAAAAATCAATAAAGAAATCCAAGATCTAAAATAAAAATAAAAGAGGAAATTAAAAATAAAATAAGAGGAAAATAAAAATAAAAGAGGAAATTAAAAAGTTCCTGGAAGTCAATAAAAATGAAAACACAAACCTACCGAACACCTATGGGACACAACTAAGGCAGTCC